TCTTTCTCCACAAAAGTTGTATTTTGTTTTGGTTAATTAAAAATTTTACAAACGATCTTCACACAAGATTAGATTATATAATCGTCACATCATAACAAAGCTGTGAAAATGATTAGGATGATTATCAGTTCATTAACTGAAGCGGTTGTCTGTACAATTCTTGTTTTCAGATTCTGCAAACATGTTTGTTTTAATGAGTTGAATCACTTATCAGTTTGGTAATTTGGATGATAGTTTAATAACCTGACGTGGATCTCCTGTAGCTATGAATGTTGTATGTTGTGAAATGTGCTGCATACAGCTCCAAGCAAGCTGAAAATGCAAAATTAATACGTGAGACAAAGACAGTTATCTGTCTGCCTTCAGGCAACTCTGGGAACGACTCAAGAAAATCACAAACAGCTTTGCCAACTTTCCCTCAGTGTTATTAGTATGTGACACCAAAACTGCACACTGCTTTAATTTGTTTATTCTCAGCAGTTTATTTGATGTGGTCAAAAGCAATTACAAAAATGTGACTGAACTGGTTTGCTCAGCAGTTAATAGGTCACTGGACTACAGTAAAAGTTAACTTTTGATATGGCTAACAAGTTATGCATTCCTTTTCATGTTGTGTCCACCAGATGAATGTTAATCCAATGTTCAGTCTTTCTTTGTTTTGCCCTTTAACAAGTCCTGAGGGAAATGTCTGGCTCTTTAGAAGCTACATGCTCTACTACGTCCACCAGGCAGTTGCTAACTTTGTCTATCTGCCATTTGGTTGTGGTAATAACAAATATGAATCAGTTTTAAAGACAAGTTGTTTGGCAAAAAGAGCTGGTGCCTCATGTACCAAGGCTGAGTCCTTGTTACATCGGCCCAGGGTTCAAATCCGACCTGTGGCCATTTACTGCATGTCATTCCCCCCTCTCTCTCCCCAGTTTCCTGTCACTATCAATTAAAGGCAATAAAAGCCCAAAAAAGAAAAAGAAATGCAAAGTTAAATTAAATGTAAAAGAATATGATTGAATCAAATAAAGTTTAAAGAAAGGGAGTCATAAGCCTGGAAATTGATTTTTTAGTTTTTTGTTTTTTTAGATGAATATCAAATGGCATATCACTGAGAATACTAAAGGACCAAGGACTAAACCCTGAGATGCTCCAGAGAGCCAGATAGCTTTTTGCAACCTGCTAACCCAAAAGTTCTTTCAATAATGGATCATAACTTCAAAGAAAGTAAATTATTTATTGAGTCTTACCTACAACTTCTAAACCCATTATTAAGATCCTTTTAAAGAAATCTGAATAAAACCAGTGACACTTTTTAAAGAATCTTTAAATGTGATAGAATTCTTTCGAGTAGTAGAAAGAGTATTCTCTTTTTTTTCTCACCAAATACACAAACACACATGAATCATTTTGTATGTTAAGCGTATAAATACTGAGGGGGAAAAAGTGTCTCGCTGTCAGCCTGATCTGATCTGAACTAAAAAATCACAGCCACGATCCTCTCCTCTCTCAATCAGCCCTTCTCTGTTTATTTCTCTATCTCATCTTCACTACACCTACGAGTATCCATCAATAAACCTGCCACCCATCTTAATCTGACACTGACAGGAAGCAGGATGCTGAGAGACTTCTCATTACATCTGGCTCTGTTTTCCTCACTTTCTCAGTTAGTAATAAATTCACAACGCATCAGCGGTTAAATAACTAAAGACTGACTTTCCCTCTCTGTTCCTCTTCCCTCTATCTTAAGGTGTTTAATGACAACTTGTGAATTCATCTGCCAATCTGCAAACTGCCCCAAATGACGAAATGCACCAATCTCATCAGTCTATAGGTCAAATTGAGGCTGCGATGGGAGAGGAAAATCACATCCCCAGGGACTGAAAATTGGCCAAATTAATTTAAGGTGTCTGGCATGATACCTGGTGGAAAATCATCTTGTGCATAAGGACTTTAACTAAACCTGGAAGCAAATCCTGTCCTAAAGTGCAGGAAGCAGAATTGTTCATGAGAAACATCTTTTAGGTGATTTGAACATGATTCATATTTTGGACTCCATCCGACAGTCAAGTGCAAGAAAACAGTGTATTAGGAGAATTTATATCAGCGATCTGCCCTCTCGAACTTTAATAAATAATCCACTATTGAACTGGAAAGGGTTTGTAACAAGACTAAGTGTCTCTGTGAGGCAGTACTCTTTCTTAAAGCAGCCATAGTGCTTAGGCACTGCAGTGTTGTGAGGAAAAGCTTGGCATGCTAAAATGTTCACAATGACAATGCAAAAATGCTGATGTTAAAGCTCCAGTGTGTAACATTTAGGATCTATTGGCAGAAATTGAAAATGATATTCATATGTTTTATCTAGAAGAGTGGGTCTGCCATGTTGAACCGCCATGTTTCTACTGTAAGCCAGTAAGGACAAACCACACACTGGCTCTAAATAGTATTTAGACCCAAGGTTTTCCTGAGTTTCGTGGCCTATGCACTTGGAATGGGGCGATGGATATTCAGCTTTCACGGCTTGATGCCATTAAATCCTTCACATTGGACCATTAAGCAGGTATACAGTTTGCAATCTTCATTTAGCATGTTAGCATGCTAACATTTGCCAATTAGGCAAAAACACAAAATACAGTTGAATCTGATGGGAATGTGATTAGTTCTGCTGACATTGGGTCAGAACCAAAGTATTGGAGAAAATAAAATCTTGACGATCGTGATGCTAGACAAAGTGATTATTCATCCTGAGGAAGACATATTTGTCCCGACTTTCATGGCAATCCACCCAATAGCTGTTGAGACATTTCAAACAAATGTTTACCTCAATGTGGCGCCAGAGAAAAAGTCAGGGGCGTCAGTAGGTATATAGTCAGTATATTTAGATTTTAAGAGACCCTGCTCCAAAAAGCAACACAAAAAAGTTCAATGTGATTGCAGGCTTTGCCGGAACCAACAAATGCATGGCACAGCAACCAGCAAATGGTGTGGCAAATTAAATCCTTGTGCAAACAGCATCGACACATGAACACCCAGGGCTCACAGACACGAACAGAGTGTGGTCCATGGCCGCGAACAAACACATTTAACCATCCTACACTAAGTTAGGAGAATACATATGACGCACAACCAAACACTGAGGCAAGCCTAATTCTTAAAAACACTCTGTATGCATGTGGCTGCCAAATAGATTAACATAAAAGATGAAGGCAAAAACAAGCAGCCACACATGCAGAAGACACCTCAGACATCTGCCACCTATACATACACAAACACACACAGTACATCAATCTGTTCACTCAACTGATCAATTACATACCTCTTCTAACATCTCTACTGCATACTCTAAAAAATGTCATAATCAATTTTCAAAACCCACTGTATATCATTTATGTGTAATTGTAGAATATAATATGGTCATTAAAACCCACACGCTACCAGGCACAATATGAAGACATCCTCTTCGGTGGTAGCTGCAGCCCTGGTACACCACAAAGACACACAGACGCACAAAGCTAAATGAAGACTTTTTGTCCCCTGTGATTAGCTGACAGAGGGTGTGAAGGTCTGCAGCCTTGAGGGTTAATGAAGCACCTCAGCAGAGTGTAATGAAGACAGTCGTCTGTAATCCTGTCATTAACACCAGCCGGTAGACAAAACCTCTCTACTCACGTTCCTTAACAACTATTTTCAGCTTCCTCGCTTGACTCTCAGCTCCAATGAGAGGGAACCACTCTTAACCTTTCTCTAAATTACTCCTACCAGGTCTTCACTTAAATGCAACCCCAAACCCATTGTTATTAACTATATCATAATGTATGTAATAATGAGATAAGCAAAGGAATTCACCTTATATAGTAAATTGATTCTTAACATATTTGTATTTTATTGTGATTTAACTGCCTCGTGATACATCTTTACATTACCATTCTAGAGTTAGAAAAAGGGCTCTGTCTTTGGTGGAAGCCAACAAAGAATCCGAGCAGCTACAGGGTTTTTGCAAATGCATGAACTCTAACTCTTAGTAAAGTCCACAAAAAAGCTTAACATATAAGAAAAGAGGTTGGAGGGTGTTGGCATGAAAATATCTGCAGGGCTGGGCGCAGTTCCCCTCCAACTTCTAAAAGAATACTTTTTTTCTTGCCAAATATTACTTTTAGGCTCTGTCTCTTTGTTGTTCTTGTTTGAACTAGTTGATTTATGAGTCAGGTGAGGGGAGAAACAGAAAGATACAAATAAAACCTGAATCAAATCATACATTATTTCTAAGAAAACATGTGTAATCATACAAACTGCATCTTTAAAGGTTTTACAGCTTTATATTTGGTGTTTGTTTAATGCATTAAAGTTTTTAAAAAGACTAGTTTTTCCAAAATGAAGCTTTCGTAAGCTCAGAACTTCCTTTTAGAAATACATGACAGGAGCAGGCATGATATTTTACAGGTTAAGCAGCAATATCAGGATCCAAATTCGAGCTGTCATCCAGATATTGGATCATGTCGTAACCTCTCTTGTACTCACTGTTCTTGCATCAAAGTGTAAATTATGTTCAGCAAATGGGACATGGCTTCAGACACTTCAGAAAAATCTCACAGTGGCTGTTTGGCTTAACAGTCAGCAACAGTGTAAAGCAGCAAAGACAAAAGAATAAATTGGTGTTGGCAGGTTTAATAAACTACTTTGCTGAGATGTCAAATCTGATTGGAGATAGTTGAGATCAGCTGGTGCGTGTCTTATGTCTTTAAAATGTATGAACTCATATTCTTTCCTCTCTTGTCAGCTTCCCCTGATTAAGCATTCAAGGTAGCTGGAGGCTTTTGATACAGTAGTGAATCAGTTAAGGTCCCAGATAAGGAAATACATGTCTGGTGTGCATATAAAGCACTAGTAAATACACTTCCTATCTGGTTTCTTATCTCAAATCTATTTTCTTCTGCTGTTTCTGGCTCATACACATCTCTTCAACTCAATGTTGTGTTTTCTCTCATGTAATATTTACATTTGCAGAATCTTACCTGTCTGATGGTGTACAGCAGCTTGCCGTAGGAGTATAGGATGACGCAGAATGGCAGGACCAGGCAGAAGGTGAAGAGGCAGACAATGTAGGAGATATTGTTTGCCGTCTTGGTCTTCCAGTCCACTGAGCAGGTGGTGCCGGGACCCTCGGGCCCATATCGGCTCCAGCCCAGCAGCGGAGGTACAGTCCAGAACACAGAGTAGAGCCAGGAGAAGCAGATCCCTCCCAGAGCCGGGCGGTACTCTCTGCCGTCGGCTATAGTTGGCGCCATCATAGTGCAGTAACGCTCATAGGAAAGAACGGCGAGGGAAATCAGGGAGACGATGCCTGAGGAAGAAGACGTACAGAAGAAGTGGTCAGTAGGTGTGTAACAAAATACAGTGACATGAAAAATGGATCACAATATCAAGTAAATCTTCTCTTGTGGCTCGTACAGTGGAACTGAACCAATCAGTGTCCTTTAAGAAAGCACTAGCAGGGTGGGCGCTAGGTGTGACGCAGCAGACAGCAATCAGGAACTTCTTGTATTTCCTTCCAGAACCTCTTCTTTCTACTCTTGTTTCTCTACAGTTAAGGAATCCTAAGCACACATTTTCAACCCATGCAGAAGTGATTTAATTTGCAGCACATTAAACAAATCTAAATGTATTTGTCCACGTTTGTATTAACAGTGCCTTTGGCTTAAAAAAAAAAAAAAACACAAACTAAATAGCAGTAAGTTTAAGGCGATGCAATAAAATGTCTTGTTTTGCCTGTTCAACAGTCTGAAATCCAAAATGAATCAATTTACCGTAATGTAAGATAGGGAAAAGCAGAACATTCTCAGATTTAAGAACCTGCATTCGTTAAATATTTACTTGCAAAAAGATTATAAATATAGTTGCCAATTAATTTTCTGTTGTAGTGCTAATGAAATGTGAAGCACAAAAGCGCAAATTTGACATTTTATTTTTCTATGTTCACAGTTTATTTTGAATCAAATCTTATTACATTTTCAGTCAAACTTTGTAAAAGTGCCACGAGTGAAGCGAACCGTGAGCCTGTTTGTGTCGTGAGCTAATTGTGTCCTTATATCCTCAGTGGGTTGTGGCTGTAATCTCTTCACATTGAAACAGACATGCACAGAAATACTGATTTGCATTGGAGGGGAGGCAGACGGCAGCACACAAATTAATTGCTTAATCGATGAATGTGTTTTGTTGCAGTAAATTGTTGCTGAAGAGACTTATATATTATGTCTCATATCATACCTAATCAGCACATACAGGCTAAAGTGCTAATCCAGCAGCACTTAACCACTCTTTCAGGGACAGAAACTTTAATTACAGACAATCACAGGACCTCCATGCATAATGAAGGTTTCTGATTGGCTGACAACGTGGTGTGTTTGCTGCGGACAGGGATGAGGTCGTAGGCGCACAGTGTGAGAGCAACAGCAGAGAGTGAGAGTCTTGAAGATAATGGAAGTGATTTTGTGTTTGTGTGTTTGTGCACACTGGGTATCAGTATGCATGCAGTGTGTGTGTCTGTGTGCGTATGTGTGTGGATGCAGGTGGATGAAGAGGAGATAAAAGCTCTCTCTGTTCATTACTGATGCACTCAGGGCAGACCTGTGGAGTCCATGTGCTGTATCTAACATGGGTCAAACTGACACTTCATTAAGATACAGTGTAAAAATGATAGAATATTACATCACATGTGATTTTTTTAAATGTAAATGCTATATTCTTGTTAAAACTGAGTTATAAAGAAATATTGAGGAAGAAATAAGACATACAAGTCAAATGAAATATATTTTATATATAATTGTTGCATATCTATCTAATTATTCTTGCTGATATTGTTTGTAGGATGCTGACAACTTCCAATTTTTCACTAAAGTCAGATAGACATTTTAAGAAAAAGTCAGATATAAATTAAAAAAAAAAGAATTAACAGCATCAACATAAAAGGACAGAAACTGCAGTTCCACGACCGGCAATCTGAGGCTTACTACTATGTGAGGCAATCTCCATAAGGCCCCATATTAAAATGCCCAAATTCACAGCAGAAATAAATCTGTTAACAGCCTGGTACAAAAATACAGTTTTTGTCTCTAAAGCTAATTGCCCCGCTAATGAAAAACAGGGGCAGGGGGTCTCAAGTTGCTTGGCTTTAAGGGTCATTAGCCAAACAAGTTGGGAACCAGTGGACTAAACCAGCAACAAGCCAGGGGTGTGCTTATTTTAAAGATGCATTCATTCATTGTTGGCAACTTGTGTAGCAGTAGAAGGAGCTGTATATCCAACAATTGACATATTATCATCTCATTAAGCTAAAGTGTTAATAAAGATAACTTGGTCGTTCTGCTGTTTGGTGCAGTGCAGGTAGCATACAATGGGTTTACTAAAGCTTCATTGTGCTGAAAACAGCTTCTAGAAACATGGGTTGTGGGCTTGAAAATGAAAACAATAAGGGTAAAAGCAGCTAAAAAACTCATATTGTCTTTTGATCCATTTTTCTTATCAAAAAAGAGTGGTGCATCTTTATTTGTTTTTTTATGTTACCCTCCATTTGTAAAATAACAAGCTTTGTCTTCTTGTGATAGTGTAATTATTGTCTTGTGTTCTCAACATAAAAACCATTGTTTTCACACAATTGTGTAATTGCATATAATCAGCAAACAGATTGCTGCATGTCTCACTGAATGACGCTGTTTAAAACCAACTGTTGATCACCAAAGGCACACTATTATTAACCTGTAGGATTATTACAAGGACAACAAAACAAAATCTGTGTTGAAATTACATTCAATGATTATATAGTCATGGTTAAATACATCTCACCAGCCCAGTTTAGTGGATTGTTTTTTTCTAATATGAATGGTCTGCTACCTCAGCAACAGGGCCACTCCTCCACACAGCGACCGATTTTCTATCCATTAGCTGTAACGATTGCACAGTTTCTACTCCGAGCCTGGTGGGGATTCAGGGGAACGTATCAGTCCCTCACGTTGGCTTTGATTCAAAAATGGCCCACTCTGATACTCCACCATGCAATTTAATGGGTTTTCACCCAAGGCCTGATTCTTCCTCACCCAACTCCGGAATGGTTTAGGAATAGATTTATGGTGAAATGAATGACCCAATTTCCAAGACCTGAGTCAGCACAGGAGCTAATCATCTTTCATTGTCTTCTGCTTTTGCACTCTTTCTCCACCCATCTTGTCACACACTTAATTTTGTCTAACTCTCTCTTTCTGTCTTTCTCAATCGGACCCTCTTTCTCTTTCATTGGTACTTTCTACCTCTTTGTTTCCCTTTTAACCGATGATAAAGCACACAAAGTGCATTTAACATGCACTAACTGCAAGTAACCGTTTAATGTTGTTTTGCTGTAATCTGATATGTTAAATATCACTTACATATATAATTGGAGGTAGGGGATTAGTAAAACCTGATTTCCCAGACAGAAACCAGAAAGACCATCCTTCTCCAGGACAAATCTAATTGACTTTTTCCATGTGTGCGTGACAAAAACTTAAGACAGGGAATGTATCGCTGTGTGATGGGATGAAAGCAAATATGATTTCACATGGCTAAGGCTCCAACTAGCAATTATCTTCATTACAGATTAGCCTGCAGATTATTTTCTTGAATAATTTATAAATAGATTAGTCAATATCATGCCAGAGTTTAGTGAAAAATGCCCATCATAATTTCCTAAAGACTCCTATGAGACATCTTCAGCTTAATTTCCCGGACCAACATTCTAAAACTCAAATATGATCTATTTACAATGATATAAAAATAGAGAAAAATGTATTTGAGTAGTGGGAATTTGAGAAAGTTCTACTTTTGCTTGAAAACTGACTAAAGCAAATGATCAGAAACTTATTTCTCATTTCAGGTCGGAGCAATCCATCCCTATATTCAAAATAATTGAATTTAAAGTGTGACTATGTGTCCTTCACTGCACTGGTTCCCAACCTGGGGTTTGGGACCACCACTAGGGGTCGCTAAAACTTCACGAGGGGTTGCGAGGCCCTCTTGGTATTAAGGGGTGTTAGAAATCCTAAAAATATATACACAACAGGCCTATATCTCAGCATTTTGTTTACTACTGTGAAGAAAATCAAATAAAATTGTTATGTTTAAAGTTTAGATCATAAGATATAAACCCCTAAACAGCCTTGTCCTGCATTAGCAAAGTAAGCTGTGGAAACAACCAAAGAGCTAACAACACAATAGCTGAAGTGTTAGGGAGAAGAAAACATTAAGTATTCTTCAGTATTCTGGGCTACTGTAAAAACATAGCAGTTCAATATGATTGCCTCCATGGAAGAGGACCCACTCGCTCTGTTGATAAAAACGGCTCATTCTAAGGTAACGAAAACTATTTCTATTTTCAGGTGATTATACACTCTTGAAAACATACTTATGAATATTATATTCTGCCAATAGATCGTCCCAAATGTTACACATTAAACCTTTAAGCTACAGCTCCAAAATCAACTGACCTGTTGCTTTTATAGGTAATTTACAATATGCAGGTTACTAATGAAGAATGTAAACACCCCTTATTTTCTCTTTTTTGCCAGTTTAAAAAGTGTGCAACTGCCCAAACTTTAAAAATCTGACTGGAAAAACTGGAACTTCTTTCTTTCTTTAGATATTACCAAACTTTGCTTTCACGCATGCTGCACTTGAAAGGGAAAAGGAGAAACAAAAGACTCCTCTGTAACCTCATGAAGATCTAATTGCAGTGTAAGTGACCTGATGGAGCTTGATTACAAGCTTCCTAACAGTCCCTGACTGCACGGTACAGTGGCTCAGATGTTGTCTGGGTAATTGCAGCAGGGCAGACAATGTCTCTTTAGGGAATTAACAAACACACTGGATTACAACCTTGTAGGCAGAAGGTGAAACAAGAGGTCTGCCAACCTGAGTAGATCTATTTCTGTCTATCGCAGTATTCAGGCTGAACAGAGTAATGTGTACTAATGTGTACAGTGTATTGATAAGGAAGTGTTGGAAGTAACAAATTCCATTTATTTCTGTTTCTGTACTTTAGTAGTTTGTTGGACAGTTCTATTTTGTTGTTTGTTTTTTTAAATAGCAGCGTGTCTGCTTCTTACAGCTCTGAAAATGTCTTAAACCTTAAATTAAGTTTCCTAACAAAATTTTTTCTTAAAGGCCTTGGAAGGTATTACAAAGTCTTACATTTCAGAGTTTACCCACTTCTAAATCCCCTCTGATGCCCATCATTCTGCAAGTTGAAGGTTGTTTTTTCAACCTAGGATGGCAAAGGCATGACACAGTTGGAGTAAGGAATCCTTCACTCAAAATGCATAAATTATTTACACTACCCGTCGTGGAGATACTCTGATGCAAATACGTCTTGTGTATGTGAATATTCATAATGATCCAGTAGCCTCGAAGCCAGGAGCAGGGCGTTTATACAACACAACGTACACAAAAACAAGTATCTTTACATGTCACTGTTTATAACACAGGGCATTTATCCTTTGCTGCACTTTAGAAAAAAAGAGAAAGGGGGCATAAATTAAGAGTATACCGACTCCAGGCACCACTACACCACTGCTTAGTCAGTAATGTTAGTTATAGAATGTTTTATTATCTGATTGCGAGCTGTTGGGAGATGTTCTACTGTACATCTATAAACTAAAGATTGTGCTGCAGGAGGCAGTTCAGTCCTTTTTATGTGATGTTTCAGTCAGCACCATCAGAAGCAAATAAGCTCATCGTCTCATAATGCACCAGTAAGCAAAAACTAAACTCAAATGAATTCATCATTTTTAATTGGTTAATGAAACCATCCATTTATTTTATGCTGCATATCCTGATTCAGGTCATGTAATTTAATAAATTGGATCATTATAAACTTTTGAAGGGAACAGGTATTAGATTGCATTCTATGTGGTATTAAAAAGGTCTTAAATTAAAGCTGGTGCAGAAACCTGGCCTGTCATTTTGGTTTTCACATGACTGCAGCGTGCTTATCGACAAATACATTACACTGGGAAGCCACTTGTATGCAAAACATTCAGCAATGGCACAAGTGTAATGCAGTTGACACAAAAATACTGTAGCTAAATATGCACTCTAAAAAGGTAATGCAATTCAAGCTAAATCTCCTCCTCGGGCAGCAATTTTTCCAGCTAAAACACAATCTTGTTTGAACTCTGCAGAGTTCAAACCTGCTACTGAATAAGGATCAAACACTTTCACTAAAGGTAGATACTTTTAATATTTACTCTGGCAGTTTAAGCAATATGAATGCAACCAACAATTATTTTTACTATCAAATAATCTGCTTATTATTATTGTATTAACATATTTATTGTACAAAATGAAGAAATTCAACATATTAACAGAGAGAAGCAGCAAATTATCACAATGGAAGAGCAGGAACTAGCTGTCTGTTTGAAAAATGAAATGACAATCAAAATAGTTCTTTTGAACGACACGTCAATGAATCATTTCATCTCTAATATTTACTATAACCTCCTCTTGAGACACAACTACACCTGTTGTTTTGTGTACTGCCAGAATATGATGTGAAATAACATGACCCTATAGGTGATTTCTGTACATTTTCAACCTTGGCTGAATTTCGTCTTGTTTTTCCACTATCTGATCAATTCTGACCGAACTGTCATCAATCATTCACGACACACATAAATCTTTGATGCTAGGGTGCCCATCTCTGCACCCCATACCTTTTTTAAAAGCCAATGACCACCCCAGTTCACAATTAAAACATATCATTAAGGTATTTTTTCAACAATGAGCCTTATGATCCTCTCACGTACCATTTTTATTGTGTTAGTTATTTCTTGTTAACTCTACAGCCGCTTCTGAATACTCACCCTGGCGAAACATTGTGCAAAATTCATCACAAAAGTTTTCAGGTTGTGGATAAACTGTCAGTCAGATATAAATTGTGCATGTATTGTTAGGTAAAAAAATGAAAGATGCATCTAGGATGTCTAGGAGCATCCAGGATTGTAAAGCTGTTGACCCTGTTGAAGGTGTATAGTGAAGTTATTGAAGGATTTAGCTAGAATCCTTCCACTAAAACAGAGTTTGTGTCCAAAAAAAACAACTAACTTGAGAGCAACAACACCTTACTTCAAAACCAAAGTCCACAGAGAAAACAACAGATTTAAGAGCAGCAGTAACACCTAACTGCCAGTCCAGACTCCAGAGAGAAAACAACAGATTTAAGAGCAACAGCACCTTACTGCATGACCAAACTCCAGAGAAAAAACAAGGGATTTTAGACTAGTGGTGTAAAAAAAATATCACTACACTTTTCACACTAATATATTTTGTAATACTATATTGATTAAAAAATGCTGTATTGATTTGAACAGTTAGAGATAGATTTGTGGAGGTGGTGGTATTTTATTAACTACTAAAACTAAACTAACTGACTTAAAAACTGGCATAAAGCAGGATCTAAAAATATATACTGTAGTAACCCTGTCTGTTTACAATTTTCTTAATTTGTACCTAAAGAATCCTGCAAGCACTTTTATATGTAGGCAAACGTTAATTCCTTTGCTCCAATTGCACAAAAAGTTGTACTTTAATACTGGATTTTACAGGGACTGTGTTAAATGCCAATGCCTCTTGTAATTGCATTAAAAAAGACACTTTTTTCTCAGATTTTCTACAGATTTTCGTCGGTTGTTTTTAATAATTTTGGTTGTTTGATTTGGTTTAAAAATGCCAATATATATCAGAGATGTGCCAATCTGATACTCAGTATCGGTTGGATACTAGCCAAAATCACTGGATAGAGGAAAGAAAAATATAATCCGATACGATCCATTAGTCTAAACTATTACATAAAGGCTTAACTCAACTTTGAGCTATGGATTTCTTCCTTCATGGGAGTAGAAAAATCGTTTCACAGTTTGAGTTTGATGTTTTTTCGATGGCTAGGTTGAGAAAAGTGCATCCATACAAATGTATTACTAACAGCTTGATTATGAGAGGGAAAAGACTGATTGGTACCGGATGGCAGCATCAGTATTGGACATGAAAAAGTGGTATCGAGCCATCCCTAATACATAGGTACCTAGTTACAGTACCACAATCTATCACAATGTATTGTATTGCAACCCCTGTATCGTGATACATATCGTATTGCCAGATTCTGGTCAATACACCTTACAGTACTTCAAGTCCAGACTCCACACATAAAACAACTAAATCAAGAACAAAAACAAGACCTTGCTTCAAGTCCAGACTCCACACAGAAAATAACAGATTTAAGAGCGACAACAACACCTTTCAAAAACTACTGATTTAAGCGCAACACCTTATCACACCTTATTTAAAGTACTTAAAGTCCAGACTCAAAAAGAGAAAAAAAGAGATTTTCCAAGCAACAACAGATGGCAGTTTAGGCTAAAAGTAACAGAAATAGATGATGAAGAGGTGAGTAAAGGATAAGAGACGTCGGTACTTAAGTGTATTAACGGATTGATTATTCACTGACATTTGTACTCAATCACAGACTCCCCTAAGTACCAAGAGACAAAACGTCTAAATTCAGCGAGAGCACGAAAATGCTGACAAGCACAGATGCATCACCCCAATCATCATCTCTTTTTGGTTTTTTGGCTCCAATAGCTAGACCATTAAGATCCTGGTTTCTGAGCAGAGGGGCGACATTAATTAATCTGTGAAAGTGATTAGAGTGATTGCCCTGAAACTGAAAGGTCACAGGTTTGATCCCAGCACTGATGAAGAGCACTTGTCAATAGTCCTGTGTGCACACATACGAACACGAGGCACAACCTCTAAGGATCAAGATAAGAGCCTAACAAGAGCAGATTTATTATGTAACACGATCAGAAATGCTTTTTCCATGTTATATGATTATTTTAGAGTTCATCTCTTCTGCATCCTCTTTCCCCAAAAGTTACCTCTGGGACAAAATCTGAACTATAGATAATATACAACACATTACTGTATCATATTATTTATGTCCTTGAAGGAAATAATTCATTTTCCAAGCTTATAGCACTGCTGAACATAATCAGCAGTGAACAGCACATTACCTTCAACACTTAATAGGATTTTAATTTAAATTAACTGCAGAATGAATCAGGTTAACAAGAATTTAATCAAATGTTTGGAGTGGGTTCTATGTTGCCCGTTTCTGGCAATGAAAGCATAATTTTCTTCATCCTCCTGCAAGCTGCTAAAGGCAGAAAATTAGGTAAATATGTTACAGCAGATCAAGTAAAACATATTTTAAGGGACCATGCTGCTGCTGCTGTTTAAATTCCAACTTAAAGGCGAGGAACTGATGAAATGCTGCGACTTTTTGGTGCTTGTGAAATCGTTTGATGTGGTTTTGGATAAAAGTGCATGATGCGCACAGTGGTTAAATTGAAAAAAGGACATTCTGGAGACAAGATTTTCACACTTTCGGCAGCATCCACAGTTGATATGTTAAGAAAAAAATCCAATGTTACACTGTCTGGCTGGCTAAATCAACATTTCATCTCTTTAGAGGAAAAAATAAGATTAGATTTAAAGATTAAATTATTTATTAAATAACTTCCGAGGCGTTTTTTTGAGTTATTAGATCTCCAGTGACACCTGCCAAAGAAGTAAAAACAGCTGCTTACCTAAACATGCGTTAACGAACCCGTACCAAACGCACCCAGCGCGTCCGATCAACCACCGCCCCTGGGTGCTGGCCGCGAAGCTGAACGGGGTGCCCAGCACGCTGACCAGCAGGTCGCTCGCTGAGATGCTCACCAGCAGGAGGTTCATGGGCGTGCGCAGAGCCCGGTACCGGCAGAACAGCGCCAGCACCAGGAAGTTACTGAGGAACCCGAAGGTGCCGATGAAGCCGAGGCACACCGCCACCACCAGGTGCCCCTTCGGGCTCAGGGTCGGAGGAGGGAGAGAACCGGGCACCTGCTCGTACGCGTCCGTCACCGTGGCCGCCGCCGTGCCTCCAGCTCCTCCCCCGGGACAGTGTGCACAGCTCAGGCTCACGTTACAAACGATCATACCGGGGTGAGTCGCGAAGTTTGTACCGGCCCCAACTTTGCACCGACCATAACGGACCGTCTCGGTGCTGTTCACTAAGTTAACCCATCTGGAGAGGCGAAGGCGCGCGGTGGAGCCCTCTGTTGCCCCGTGCGCTCACGTGAAAGCTTTTAATAAAGAAAGACAGAAAAGTGTAACCGCTCGGCTGTACGGTCCAAGAGAGCGAATGAGTGAGGATTCAGAGAGCAGATGCCGGTGTCATTTTAGATCCGCCCCTACGCCGTGCGCTCCGGAAAGGTGCGCTCCTTCTCTTGCGCGGCCACCAGTTCAGCTTTAAGTGCGCCTGAGCTTTTATCACCCACTGCGCCGGGGGATGAAAACCCTCAGCATGAGGTGGTGTGTTGGTGTGTGTGTGTTTGAGCACGTGTGTGCAAAAGCCTCAAACCACCATCCATGAAAGCATTGCATAACAATATTTCTGTGCAGAAAAACACACCGCAGTAAATTAAGAGAAAGTGCTTGAAAAGCTGTGTGATAGGTGCAGCTCCAGACTCCACTTCTCTTATTTTAACCGTGGAGAGCGGAGGAGAGAATCCATAATATGCCTGACAAGAGATCAGTATGTATAGCCTGGGGGACGAGGACTGATTTCTTCTAAGCTTATTAACATCTTTCTCTTGCTCTTTGTAAGCCAATCATTATAGATAGATATATAGATAGATAGATAGATAGATAGATAGATGCTCCTGCTGCTCCTTTTTAGAGCACTTGTTGCAGATGTCTTTTTCCTGTCTACTTCCCTTCTTCACACACAGACACGTTTCCTTTCAAAGGAAGTTCTTGCTTATTTTGCATGCTTAACCGGACAGAAAAGGGAAGCTATTGCATCTAGATTAGATTTAAGGTTAGAGCAAAGTCCTCACCTAAATCACAAATTAGGTTGCGGCTTTCAAATTGATCCATATAACCCTTACAAATTAAAAACAAAAGTTAAGGAAAGATAATGGTGTTAGTTAAATAACAATAAAGTAAATCCTGAGTTAAACCTTCCCTACTATCTACCAATCACCTACAGTATACTTACCATACTACAGTATACTATACTATACCATATCATACTATTTTCAGCTAAATTCTCCCCTTGTTCAATCAAGATATGATGATTTTTATCTTTCTTTGGTAAGAGTTTGACTACGCATTATGTTATAAGTTCACATTATAGATGGTGATTGACAGATGGTCTATGGTTTCTGAAAGTGCCTGCCAAACAGTTTCCAACGATGACTTTGGTTCTGTGTAACAAACCAGTCAGGGCACCCCACTTCCTCTATATGCAGACTTTCTGGTTCGTCCATTAATGACACTTAAGGCTGGAGTCCTGCATACTCTGCATAAATGATGCTAAGGGGCACCCACAACATCATATTTTGAAGCGTTGGGACACCGACCAAGCCACAGTAAAGAGTTGGGAGTGAGACTGGGCTGGGAAGGACACCCTAGAGAGCAATTTATCACATTTTCTCCACTGAAAGCGCAGCCCAGAGGACCCTTTATCATTTTTTATCTACCATAGGGGCATACAAGAGGGCACTTTTTGTTGTGTCTTTTTCAAACACAGGGGCACCACGGGGGGCAAATGCTCCCAAGAGTCCGCCAGTGCTCCACACCCTTACCCTTACTGAATGTTGGCACTGGATGCTAGTCTTGACGAGCGAAATTGTTCACTATGGACGTAAGGATACTCGGCTGCATTAGTCGCACAACCACAAGTAGCCACTCATCAAGAAAGCATTAATTTGTGTGTTTGAAACATTTAAACAAAAGGGACCAATGATGTAATTTTTCTGGTGAGAGCAGATAAAGTGAGACGGGCCTCACATACTTATTATTCAGGTAATGAACTGAAACGCATGCACGCACACACACACACACACACATGTTGCTCCCGTGCTCTCTTTTCTCTTCTTATGTCTTTGTGTGTTTTCCTTTGATTTCAAATGTAACCTTGCCAACAAATGCAGCCTTGCACCTCCAGTGAGAGATGAATTATTAATTAAACGAAATGAGCTAATTTAATGAAATTTGCTTCATAATAAATGAAGTATAGGACACATTTCCAGCCCTTTTGTCTCTCAAGGGACCAATATCCCTGTCATTAAAACTATTTCATTTTAATCTATGCATTATACATACAGTTGTAAAATCAGGCTTATACAGTATCTTCACTTTATGCTCTGATTATCTTGTTTTCTTTATAACTTTATCTAAAATCAATTTATTGTAACTAAATTGTTACAAAACTCAAGTCCACAACTTCCAGTCATGTTAGCAATAGTACATATGCAACATCTGTTTACACTTTCAAAATAAAGCAATGTAAGAGTAACATTGTGAAATGGACGCAGTTTGGTTTAGAAAAACGTATTTAACGTACATGAAATGAAGCCTGATCTGTAGCTTTGATAATCATCTCCAACGAGGACACTGGTCAGTGTCACGTTTTTGGCTTGCCTAGATGTGAAAAGTACACACGTGTATCAAGAGTGATGAAGTCAGTGTGGTGAGGAGGGAAGAAGACCGCTGTTGAGGTCTGCTGTGAAACCAAAAGTCAACGTGGATTTATTTAACTTAACTTACACTCATAACGTAACGTTACCAAGTAGTTTTTTTGCAAGCTTTATTTTGAAAGTGTAACCACAAGTTGCATATTTATTGTAGTTAACTTGGCTGCAGCATGAGAATGTGTTGAAAACGTCCCACTGCCACAGCAGACTGGCGTGTGTATTATACGCTTCGGTTTGATACCGGATTGCAACCAGGTTTGCTTCAAAGTTTATTGTTCAGCTTGGGAATAGTAGGTTGACCAAATAATCCTAACTCAAGTTCCAATTACTATGTTTTTAAGGAGCTTTGTACTGTATCACTCAGTTTTCGTGGTTTGAGGCGACACAGACAACTCCTTTACGTCAGAACTCAACTCAACTCTTTTCCTTCAAGTCAAATCCAAAATTCAAATTTTTGTGACTTACATTTGTCTCTGAGTCTACGTCTTGAGCCTAATTTTGGTTAATGCATGGATGGATCAATGTTTTTAGGGATAAAAACCCTTGAAAACAGTCCAAATAATTTTTAATCTGTCACCTATATAAACTATTCAGACTCTTCAGAGTTACAGATGGTTTTAATGGTGTTTAATAAAAAAAAGAAAAGAAAGAAACTGAGCAGAAAATCCATGAAATGTACCTTATTACATTAGTAGAGCTTGATCGATTAATCTTCTTTAGTAAGACGAGTGTAGTAACTATATCTTTGTTCTGACGTTACCTTGGGCTTTTTGCAGATTCATTTAGATTAAAAACAATTTTTAGCTGCTGCTCTAAATATAACAATCATAAATGAATTAATTTATTATCCTCTTAAAGTCTTATTAAAATACCTTAATTACATTGTTGCTGAAGGTAAAAGTCAGTTTCTTTGTTGTTTTGTTCAGATGCTTTAGTTCCACTGCAGAACAACAGTCTGCGGCTCTCAGACAGTTAAATTCTGGTTAATACAACAAAACATTTCATTATGACAGAGGACTGAGAGACATGAAGCACACACACACGCGCGCGCTAACCCTCCACCTCACTGCCACACACACATACACAAAACACATCAATACAATCCGTCCACACACACAGAATAAAATAAATAAATGTACAATCAAAATTGCAATTACCTGCAGAATTTGTGAAGGGTAAACAAATCTGTGCCTCGCCCACCCCACACACACACACACCGATGCAGAGAGCGGCGTTAGCATTCTAGTTAGCATGCTGAAATGAATACAGTTAGATCCAAAGCAATTTCCTTTTATTTATCTTAGCAGCCGCGCATAAATAAAGGCAAGGGCATCCAGGCAATTAGCATAATTACTATGAGGCGGTCAGACCCTCTGTGATTTCATAAAGAGACACACACACACACA